ATTTATATTTATTTTTTAAGTTATATTATAATTAAAATAAAAACCGGAAAAAAGGCCCACCAGGATCATCTTCCATGCTTCTTTCTTCTTCTTCTTCTTATTATTATTAGTATTATTATAATAGGAAAGGAAGTTTGCAGGTTCCAATGGCTTCTCTTTTATTACAACCGGGCTCTATTGGGTTTTTGGGTCAATAAACAACTGCAGGCCTTGGCCCTTTCAAAGTTGGGCCGATAATTAAAAGAAAAAGATTGGGAACGAAGGAAAGGTTAACAAGGTATTGCAATTGGCTAGCTGCCAAACCATATGCTTTTGATCTAACTTGCAAATGATTAAGGAATAATTTATAATTTTATATGTTATTTATTATTTTTTATTTTATTAAAAATTATGATATTTGTTTATATTTATTTGTTTATTTAATGATAGATAAAAATTATAAACAAAAAAATATTAAATGATCCTCATGTTTTAGTTTATTCGCATAGATTTTAGATTAGTGCAAATCACTTCTTATGGGTTATGCGTTTGAGGTTCACCATTCCTTTCTCCAATCTTCATTTGTTTAATATGTTTTAATTTCCTTCCATTCAAAAAAATAAAAAATATTAAATAAATTATTTACATATCATCACTCATTTTTTTATTAAACTTTAGAATATAAATTTTGCATGTCAACATTTTTTATTAATAAAAAGATAATAATTTATTAATAAAAATACAAACAATACTTAAATGTCAAAAAACGAAATAAAACAAAACAAATCTATCCCTAACTTCATTAATTTCTACCATTACAATTAAATTCATCTACATCAAAATTGATTAAGAATATATATTCAGGCGCAACTCATTAAGATATAGCCACATGTCAAATTTGTAGGTTTAATACTTTAATCTACATCATTCCTCCATAACAAATGGTGATCTCAAGATTTTTATTAGGAGCGAAAACTATAGAAGATCATGTTTAAGGACTCATCTAGGAATAAATAAGAAAATACTTGGCCTTTTTGCCTTTACTCATAAATAAAATTTTGTTTGCTTTTCCTCTTTCTTTGGTCATGTATGGATTCCATGGCATGGATGCCAATATACGTCACCGGCTATCAAATATTACAAAACCATGGCTTCTACCTAATAAAGAAAAAGAAACATTTTCCTTTTTTGGTTGGGTTTGTTCGTTCACTCTGTTTGGGGGAAACCTTTTTGTTTTCTTGTTGATTCATTAAGTTAATTTTTTTTTTAATTGTCAAGAAGGATTGATTTTGTCCAATCTCATTTTGCATTTGGGAAGCAAAAGAAAAGAAAGGAAAGGAACAAGGAAGAAGAGTGTAGAAAGAAAAGAAACTAAAGGAGGAAAGGAAAGCAAACAAAGTCACTGTTTTGATTTGATGATGGATCTGTAGATCTAACCCTTTCATACCCACATGTATTGCTCTGTTTCTTTTAGCTCTCCATCGTTTTCTTCCTGTGGGATTAAGTAGCTTGCCAGAAACTGTACAAAGCAACCTTGAAAAAAAAAAAAATTGTTTTTTTGGCCATTTACAAATCAGCCAAATTATATTGTGAGTTTGCTTCTCTGTCCGTTTGTTTTCAATGTTTCTAGTTTCTGTCATTACTGGGTTTTCTTCAAAATTGTGTTTTTTTTTTAGTTGGTTTATGGGAACTTATTTGTTCACAGAAATTTGGGCATTTAACTGATTTTTTCCCTTTGATGAACTGTGATATGTAGAGGTATTGACCCTCTTCTTTCTTTCCTTTTGTTATGTTCATTCACTTAAATATGTTGGATGGGCGTAAGTATTCTTGTTTGTTCCCTTTTTGAGATTGAACTGAATGTGGGTTTTAGATTTTTTACTTGATACGGTTAGTTTTGAATGTGGGATGTATTTGTAACATTTTATGGGGGTTTTAATCCAGTTTGATAATTAGTCATGGTTATTGTTTGTTGGGTTTTCTGTTATGATTTTACAGGGAATGTGTTACCTTTGGTGTGCAGGGTGAGGACTCTTGTGGAAGTTTAGTGATTATTATTGGGTTTGATATATTGCATCCAATTTGGATGTTGTGAAGGAATTGAAGGCTGGCTGGGGTGAGATGTGGGATGTTATCAAGGCTGATAAATTTTCTGAGAGCCTGCTGGTTGCCGTCCTCGGATGAATATGTTCATACGGGTTCCGATGCAGCAGGCCGGCAAGACGGGCTTCTTTGGTACAAAGACAGTGAACAGCATATAAATGGTGATTTCTCCATGGCTGTTGTGCAGGCAAACTATTTGATTGAGGATCAGAGCCAGATTGAGTCTGGGCCTTTGAGCACTCTGGAGTCTGGTCCTTATGGCACTTTTGTAGGCGTATATGATGGTCATGGTGGACCTGAGACATCATGTTACATCAATGACCATCTGTTCCAGCATCTAAAGAGTAAGGAGAACTTGAACCTTGAATAAGACTTCTTGTGTCTTAGCACAATAGAGAAAAAAAAAAAAGGTTATTAATTTGATGATTTTTTTAATAATAATTATTTTGCAGGGTTCACCTCAGAGGAACAATCAATGTCCACTGATGTCATACGAAAAGCATATCAAGCAACAGAAGAAGGCTTTTTCTCTATTGTTGCAAAACAATGGCCCATGAAGCCTCAGATTGCAGCTGTGGGATCTTGCTGCCTTGTTGGTGTAATTTGTGGTGGATCCCTTTATATTGCCAATGTTGGCGATTCACGTGCTGTTCTGGGGAGGCTTGTCAAGGCAACTGGAGAGGTTCTTGCGATCCAGTTGTCCTCAGAACATAATGTGGGCATAGAGTCAGTCAGGCAGGAGATGCATTCTTTGCATCCAGATGACTCACAGATTGTAGTGTTAAAACATAATGTTTGGCGCGTAAAGGGCCTGATTCAGGTAAGTTATTTGAGTGAAACTAATTCTTAGCACATCAATGACATTTTAAATTAATCCATGAACTAAAATAAAGGGAGCCTGGTTTTGAAGTTAATTAGTTTAGCAACTGGTGCTGCTTTTGATCAATTTTTAGGGGATAATGCTGTTAGTTGATGGAACTAAAGGGGTATTGACCATTTTGTGGAATTGTATGGAAAGAGTCATATGAAAAAGTGGCACAGTGAATGTTGTTATCAAGCATCAAAACTGGAAAATATGAATTTGAATACAATATGCATACTGCATTGTAGACTGTACAATAAGCAACTGAACTAGTTTTAATGCGTTATATAGGGAGAATAACATGTTCTGATGGTAATTATTGACTGTGAATAACTTATAGTTGGATAATTCAGATGAGATCAGGGGTCTACGGAAGATCATAATTATCTTTTGACACAATGAAATGCATCATATTTGAGCAGTTACTGCTGTAAGATTGATTTTCATTGTAAAAATGGAATATTTGACCTGAATATTCTCATTTAAGAGAATGAAAAATTGCAAGCTTAGTATCAGAATGCTGTGCTCTAGACTCACAGGTGTATTTATGATCTTGTGCTTTGGTTATTCTAATCATCAAAGGATGAAAGGAAACTGGAACTGAGATGTTCGGGATGTGAAATTTGTGCTTTTGATGCTATTTACTGCTGCTGTTTGGTTTTAGATTATACATAGATCTGCTAAAGTCAAAAAAATGTGTAGATACATTGGGACTAAAAATATTTTTTCTACCTCTCTGTTATAGGTCTCTAGATCCATTGGTGATGTTTACCTTAAAAAGGCCGAATTCAATAGGGAGCCTCTTTATGCAAAATTCCGTCTCCATGAACCTTTTAAAAGGCCAATTTTGAGCTCTGAACCTTCAGTATCTGTACATGAGCTTCAACCTCATGATCAGTTTCTCATATTTGCTTCTGATGGTTTGTGGGAACATCTTAGCAACCAGAAAGCAGTTGATATAGTTCAATATAATCCACAAAATGTAAGATTTTTTTTCTTCGATTGAATGGGAATTTCTGTTTGTTGATTCCATCCTGTCTTCCATGATATATTTTATGTTCTATATGTTGATAGTTATAATGGTTTCCAGAGTTATAGCATAGACAGTTTCCCTAGCATTCATATATAATCCTTCTTGCAGGGAATTGCTAGGAGGCTTGTGAAAGCTGCCTTGCAGGAAGCTGCAGAAAAGAGAGAAATGAGATACGCAGATTTGAAAAAGATTGAACGTGGTGTCCGCCGCCATTTCCACGATGACATTACAGTTGTTGTTGTATTCCTCAATTCAAATCTTGTAAGCAGAGCCAGCTCGGTAAAATGCCCTTCAATATCAGTGAGAGGGGGCGGAGCTAACCTCCCTGCAAAAACTCTAGCCCCCTGAGTTTAAAACCTAAATGTTGGTTGATGGCGCTGGCATTTCATACTGTTGTGCCTTGTGCAGATCCTTCCCTGAACTTATGCTATACCATCAGCTCATAACCAGGAGACATAGAAAGAGGTGCAGTCTAATAATTTTTAAAATTTTTTTGAAATGTACAATGTTGATTAACATTTTAACTCGAGACATGTATTTTGTTTAGATTTTTAATCTTTTTGAGCATAGGAATGGGAAGTTAGAGCTGCATAAATAATACTGAAGTGTCTTTCATTAGAATAGTAGTCTTCTCTATGCATTCGTTGACTATATTTCCCCCCCTTTATTCTGGAACTTCTGGTTTTGTAAATTATGTCCAACAGCACCTCTGAATAATGCTTTTATTATTATTATTATTATTATTTTAACATATGGAAGCTTTTCTTATTTGTTTAATTAATCATAACTTGTCAAATAATACAGAAGTTTAGGGGCTCAATTGATTATCTTACAGAAGTTGGGGGTTAAGAACGATTGTTTCACCCTTTTCTCCATTCAGCACTCTGTTTTAGAGCTCCATCATGAAGTAAAATCTTTACATCATGGCATGTTTGTTGCTGTAACGTGCTATCTTCTCACGAGAATCTAAAATCTGACATGGGACTCATCTTTTCACAATATTAAGGAATGCTTTGGTGTAGCTAAAGCTATTAATAGAAGTTTTGTCGGAAAGAAATTGTTGTAGAAATATTGTTTGTGTAAATAGAAAAAAAAATAATGATAAAATAAAAATAATGTTTTAATCTCATTAAAATTCAAATAAGAAGTTTTTGTAGAAGCACCAATTCAGTACTTTTGAGATTTACAATGAAATAGATGAAAGACTAATTTATGAAAAATTATAGTATTTTTAATAAATTATAATATTTGATGTAGTTAGAGTTTTTTCAGTAAAAAAAAACTTCCCACCAATTGTGCCAAACAGCCTAAATGGGAAACTATAGCTAAATGTGTGCATCAAGCGATTAAAAATTAAAAAATTTGAATATAAATTTTAAAGTAAATAAAATAATTATTTTATATTATATAATTTATCTTTTTAATATTTAAAAAAAAAAAAAAAACTGTTAACAATATCCAGAATCTCTCCCATGTCTCTCTATGCTTGAGGTAGAAGTATATATTCCTCCAACAAAAGATTAGGAATTTAGGAACGGGAAAAAACGAAATGAAATTTTACCCTAGCAAGGGTATGATATTGAGATTGGTTTTTTCTAGTTGTGTCCACAGCAACAGAAGTATGACTCCAAATCTATAAACATCGCTGAAGGGACTTGGATGGAAGCTGGAACGGTATGCATGCAGGCTCAAGGGTAGCCTGGTGCCTTTGCTGCTGACTTGAGACTGATCTCCAATAGGTCCCCATTTCACTAGCAAAAAATTTGATACCTGTACTTCTGCTATTGTTATGGTGTGTTGACTTCATTGTTAATTTTCTTAGGCATTATTTTGGATTTTTGTTTTTTTGAACAACCAATTTTGGATTGTTTTAGCGTGCAATCAAATTCAAAATCTTCAATTTGGATCTTTTTGTGTTGATTGAATCATATGGTTTTGTCTTGGTTTAGATAGGATTCTCACAAAGATAAAAGACAAAATGCACCAACTCTAGCATTCCACAGTTCAAGTTCACGGTCTTCAAATTACCAAAATAACAATAATAATAATAATAAAACAAAAGTTAATTTAATTATAGTAACAATAAATACTCCCTCTATCCCACAATAATATAGAGTAGTGCATTTTTAAATTTTATTTTCATAGTAAAGATTTTGATACAATTTATATTTTTATTTATTTTATTTAAAAAAATAAAATAAAGAAATTTTTTTCATAAGATGAAGAATAATTAAAGTAAAAAAATAAATTTAAATTAAGAAAAAATATTTATCTTTCTTAAAATATAAATAAATAAGTATTATTTTAAGACAAATTCTAAATTTAAAAAGAAAAAGAAAAAGAAAAAAAAAAAGAGAGAAGAAGTTATTTTGGGCTTGAGAGAGTATAAATGGAAGGCATTCATTATGTACCACAAAATTTTGCTAACGGCTTAAGGGTTTGATGATTCCGACTCAAGATGTAGATTGTGAAAAATAGCCTGTAAGCTAAAAATAGTATCACAAGATTTACTTTATATACAAGCCACATGAAACTTTGACGAATGCCTTGTTGCCCTAAAGCTGATGGCAAAATTCTAAAATCATGCACGTTAGGAATGAATCATGTGAGAATATCACATGATCATATATCATTTTTCGCTTCAAGTAGAGTCTAGACCACACCATATATGTAAAGGAAATCATGACACAAACATCAGCCATATGTGGAGCAAAAAGTCTTGAGGCCTCGAACCCAGAATGTCAATTCTAAGATCTCATCAATAACCTAGTGCACGTCAAAAGCAAACCATTTACATCAAAACTAAAGGGTTTTTGAAAATTTTACCACGTATGAAATCTTTCAAAATGGGAAAAGATAATTCTCAAATGCAAAATGGGGTTAGCATATAACAGATCTCTTAAACACCATAGCAGCATAGCTTTTCTTTATTGATTTGGTAGACTTCTCATCCACCATACTTGGACCCATATGCTCTTCCTTTGAGCTGATGTAGGACCATTCATCTACAATGCAACCAATAAATGTTGGAAGAGAAGTAGGTGAAGATAGTGTCTATATATGATACAATTATGCAGCAGAATAGTTCCCAATATCAATGCCTTTAACATAGGTTATAAATGAAGACGACGATTAAATGTGGCAGCTGGGCTACCCCAAAGACATTTCTTAGGTAAGACATTGATTATCTTTCATTGTCCTGATTCTTCACGATTCTCTCCTGTTTCCTGGCCTAATAACATGGGGAAGAGACTCTGAAAGAAACCCAATAGGGCATTGACAATTACATAGCTCACCTACCATCAAGGTTATGTATTGAATTTTCAAGAAAAAACAAGACAGAAGTCGCAAAGAAAAAGGTGCAAAAGATTTTCAGTCGTTCTAAACTATTTTACCTCAAGCCTTATCAGTCCAAGACTTAAAAAACCTGACCAACTCCCATACAGAAAGTTATTGCATGTGTGTCCCTACATTTTAAAGACACTTGTAGGATAGCCCTACAAATGGTTTTCAGATTGGAGTAAGGCAACTCAGTTTGCCATTATTTTATATATTTTCCTCCTTTGTACCTTGAAAATATAATAAATATATATTTTTATCATAAATTTATATTAAAAAATAAAAATTAAATTTTAATTTATCAATTATTTAATTAAATTCATTAACTTAATAATGATACTAAAATTAATGTCAGTTTCTATATTTTTTTCATATGCATTTATAACAAAAAGTTATCTTTAACTTATATCATAAACGCACATGTTTAATTGTTTAAATAACCCTCTTATTTTTTTTATTTCTAATGAAGAAGAATCACTAGACCCCCCCAAAAAATCAAAGCATACAATTTTCAATCTGTTATCTGCAGATGTATATATCTCAAAAATCTAGACACTTAACCATCGATGTTAGATATAGAAATGACTAACATACAATCCAAGAAAAAGGGAACGGAGATGGAGAGTATCAAGATATGTAATTAGGATTATCATAACTGATCAAAACTTTTATACATAGAGTGAATCAAGTTCAAGTACAACAATCCATTGAGAGACATGAAGCACTTAAACTACCATCTCTGGAGCGACAGGGTAGGCAGCCAATGATGAACAAAATATGAAAGACCTAACGAGTAAACAGCAGTATAAATAATAAGAGAACTTTTCTAAGCGTGGAATTTACAAAGAAAGCATTATAGATCCCTTCTGCATAAAGGACAAGAACCATGCCTGAGAAGCCACTTATCTATGCAAGGTAGGTGAAACATGTGATGGCATTGAGGCAGTCGTCTAACTGTTTCTCCAAGCTGAAAGTCCTGCATAGATGAGAAAACATTAAATGGTTAACCATCTTTGAAGTTAATTAAGCCATTGATCATGATTTCAAAGGGATATTTGGAAAACGAAACGTAGGGCCTGACCTGAAGGCAAACTGAACAAGCCACTTTCTCCCCGGAAGCATCTATATTATCATTGGTTGTGATTTTGATTTTTGGGATCTTTTCAACCAACTCTCCCGTTAATCCTTTTGCACCATCCGTGTCAAAGATGTTAGTAACCTCATCAAAACTTGTCTCAGCAGCTCCCATCTGAATACAAAAGCCAAAATCATAAGCAAATTGCAGATAATGGAGGCACTTTACTTTCTATAATACCAACTTTCGTTCGTTACTAAGTACCTGACTTTGCACAGCACTTAGCATTGCTGGACCAATTCGTTCACGTACAAGCCTCCCACTTAGAAGACTTGCAATGACATCAATCTACAAAATTTGCAAGAAAGTGAATTAGACAGCTAAAATTTCCCTAATCATCATTTTGAGGTAGGTCACAACGAAATGATAGTCTAAACAGCTTACCAAATACAAAAGGCATCCAATCCCAGATTCATCAGATTGCCAGAGAACAAGAGAAGATTCAAAGACTTCAATTGAGAAAACTGCTCCAGAAATGGCCCCAACCGCTGCACCTCGAACAAATCCACTCTCAGTCTCCTGGCCTATCAAAGCTCCTGTCATGGCCCCTAACAAGGTGCCCACTGCAAATAAAAATTGCCAAATCTCTTCAACAATATTCTCGAATAAAAAAATGATCATAACCATTAAAGTGTTTCATAAGCCAAATTATAAGGGATCGAACAATATTTCTCAAAATTCAAGATGAAATTTTAATGATGAATGAAGAATAATTAACCTAAACTTTTTTGGTTTGTGGGCACAAAATATTCAAATTCTCATATTATTGCAATCCAACAAAAGTGGAACAATAGATACCATTTCCCAAAAAAAGCAAGTTTTGTCTTCGTAAATCCAGATTTTAATACCAGGAGCTGTAATAAAAAACAGAGCATTCATCCCAAAATATCTAACACGTAATCATTGAAACATGAAAATAAACCAAGTCCGTTAGCTTAGGAATATGAACAAACCCAAATTCAGATTATTGAAAATCCCACATCAAGAAATCTTAACGGATCCATAATGGAAAGACATTCAACCAAGAAAGTCACAACTTTCATTACCAGAACACAAGAAAAATAGAGAAGAGGGGGGAAAACCAACCTAATGCGAAGAAGAAGGTCAAAATTGCAGAGAAAATGTTTCCAATGACGGCAGCAACAGCGAAACTGAAGAAATCCTTAACCCTTTCAACGAAATTCCCCAAGAAAAGCAATGGACACGAAGAGGAACGAAATGGGCATGGATAAAAATCCATTCTTTCCGTCCAAAAAATGGGGGGCACAACTGAGAAATTCAGGTCTCCGGATTTGGTGATCTACAAAGGAAGGGTTTAATAAGCTTATATACCAAAAAGTAGAGATAGGTATGCTTAGTGTTTAAGAGAAGATGATGAAGAAGATGGAATCAACCAACTCGCATTTAAAGCTTCGATTCTCTCTCTACCTTCTTTGAAACAGGAAATTTGTGTGTCTTGTGGATGAAAGAAAATCTCTTGTTTCCATTAATTTAAATCAAAAAATATGTACTAAAATTTTGGTTTTCAAAGATGGAAGCTACACTCTCCCTCATCAGGTCCCATCCCCCAAAAATAGAGATGGAAGGCCCGCGAGGGAGAAACTTTAAAAAAAGAAAAAAAGTTAAATAAATTCCTAATTTTCCCATCACCCATTATCTGAGAGAAAGTTGGGTGAAAATCTTTATTTTGGGAACGAGTGACAAGGCATACCTCTGTACTTGCAAGTTGCACTGCTTTTTTTTTTTTTTTTTTGTGATAATTTTGGAAGCAGTCAACTAGGAGGTCCTGTTTCTGGTCATATCTCGCATGGCATCCAAATTTCAAGTGGAAAGAGGTATCAATACGAGCAAGAGGCATCAATACAAGTTTGGCCAATTTTGTCAATATTAATATTTTTAATAGTTTCAACTATTTAAATGATTTAATAATAATTTATTTTTAATAAAAGTAAGTAGTAGTAGTTTTGAAAAATATAATATGCGATTGAATAAATTAAAAAATTAAAAAAGTTATATTTTATTTGTATAATCCAAGATTTAAAAAGAAAAGAAAGATAATTCATTTTGATCCAATGACATAAATATTGAGTTAGCATCGTTCACCTCTTGTAAATAATATATTCGAGTTTCACCGAACCATTTTTTTTCTCCTAATTAATATATATAAATAATTTTAATATGTTAAAAAAATTAAAAAAAACATATTTAATATATGAAGTATTATATGAAGATAATTCCAAACATCTCCTTAAGCATTTAAGTGGGAAAATAATATTCTATATTCAGTTTAAAATATTTATTTAACATTTGCTTTATTTTTAATATTAAAATTTAATATAAATATAATTAATTTAACCAATTTTTATATTTTGTATAAATGATTATATTTTTAAATTTATTTATTTTTAATTTTATATAATAATAATATTTTTTTAATAAATATATTATACAGTATGTATTAAATCAAAATATATATTAATTATTGTCCATTGAAGTATTGTTGATGGATTCATTGATTCTCAAGTAAGTTCTTGTCCTAGTCACAGCCATGCTTGGTGGAAAGGATGAACAAGGTGATACTGAAAAATCAACAAAGGATTATCATCATTCATCATGAGATCACAACATTATTTGGCATTTTCAAATTCTTACTTTGTCATAAATGAAGGCATAATTGCCTCCAAATTTCAATTTAGCAAAATGGGTTTATAATCATTACAAATGAAACTTTTTCTGAGAATTGCAACGTCATATATGGTCAAATTGTTAAAGAGGATATGGAAAAAGGGTATGGAGGAGCTCAAAACCGAACCCTTGTGTCACCACTATATAGAAAGTAATCCAACCGGCATATTCAGTGGTTGGTATCTCTATTATTCTCAAAGGAACAACCCTATGTACGTAGAGATATCCAATTTCAACACGCTAGAAAAACAAAAGGCAATTTAATTAGGTATAGGACTTTTTGTGTGCAATTTTAGGTATAGTGAGGGATCAGATGATAGCTAATTAAGACAACAACTTCTGCCCTTTTTGACGAATTACTTGGTAAGTACTACCAAATAACTCGAATGCTTTGCTCCATTATTAATTAGCCCTCAACATGGTTAGGTGGGTTAGGAATTTTCTAATAGAATAATTTTTTTTTTATAAATTTAAAAATTTATTAAAAAAAACTTTTAATTTAACTTTTAAAGTAACTTATAAATAAATTTAATGAAGTTATGGTTTGTAACTTTTAAAAAAAATTATTTATAAATCATTTTAAAAGTTAAATTCAATTTTTTTTAATTTTTTCTAATTTATAAAAATTTTATTTCTTAAAATCAAATTTATTTTTAAGCTCCGCCAAGCATGCATGCCTTTAATATTATGCAATACTATATCAAACTATAGAGTACATACCTATTCGAATTTGACATAATGATTCTCACATGTGGGAATCTGATTACAAGCATTTTTAATCCATGACGATATATATATATTGTTATACTAATGGTTGATATGATGCTGACTCATGCCCACTTAATTAATTTCTCAATACTAGCATAATCACAAGCGTGTTCTTGAGGAAACATAGAAACATTGTTGCCCACTTAATTAATTAATATTGTCATTTTGTTCATACGTACGTACCATTAGATTTTTAGCTTAATAAATATAGTAAAAAGCATTTGGTGATGGATGACTCTTTCTTCTTCTTACTGTAAGGAAAATAGGGACGAGTCTTAACAACTTGGATTCTGATGTCTCAGGATCGAATTCTGTGTGCTAGACTCTTTTTTGGATGGAAAATCTAGAAGGAGGATAAAGTGCATGTTTAATAATTTAAGAATAAAACAAATATTTTTTTTTTTCAGGAATTTTATATAGTGGTGGGTAAGCTGAAACATTGACATCTGGGCTGAAAATCTTGTGAGGCAATACGTTAGCAAGTTGCTTAGTAGTTTAAGCATTTTTAAGAGAAGAATGCAAAAAATCTTTCCACCAACTTCCATTGGCTGTCGGCAGTAATACAATGGGTTTTTTTTTCGATCTGTTCTTAGTTGATGCGGTTTATAACTGCAATAGTAATAAACTCTATACCATGTAGAAAATGAAAATGAGAATAAGAAATTAAAATATAAATAATCTAAATAACTCAGTAATCATCTCCTTTCGATAGAAGTAAGAGATTTTGAGTTTGAGTCGCATAATATATAAGTGGAGTGTGATAAAAGATATGAGATGGTTGTTTTTTATTGTGTTATAAAGATAAAAACAAAGATGAATAAATACCTACTGTTTGAATGGTTTGGATGGAACTTCCAAACCACTTTTCTACTGTCTAACATAAATCTTTTTAAGCAAAAATAAGTTGTTAAAATAAAATTTTGAATTTGAATATTATGAATTAAATGATAGGTATTAGAGAGTTTTATTTATTAGGTCTAGGTCGACTCAATTTTAAATTGGTTGAAATCTAACGTGACTTCTAAATATTAAAGAGTTTAATACTAAAAAATTAAAATTTTGTTAATTTATCAAAATTGTAATAAAATCAAACTTTTCTGATGAATTGAAATCAGTGAAAGCAGTTCCAGTTCATGCTTGTATATATCACACAAACAAACATATAAAAAAGCGTCTTTTAACCTTACTATCATGCAAATCTCTTTCATATTAATGCATCCCAAGAAAATATAAAATTGTCGAATCATTTAATTTTACTTGAAAACCAAGTTAAAATAAAGTTTATCAGATTTTGTGTTTAGTTGATTATAATTCTAAGCATATTGATTGGAAGGTATTATAGACTTTTAAAAACTATCTCGGTACACTTATTATAGATTTAGAAATAACGTTTTCACTTATATTAGATATAAAATTAAATTTTCACTTAATGAAAAAGAAATCTCCCACCAAAACACTAAGTATAAAATAGGATGTAGCGTGTGATTTCTTTTTAAAATTCCTTCTACTTACCTCAACATTATTCTAATTTCCGAAACTTCTAACGTAAAAAAGAAGGTTCAAACTTTTAATGAATAAAACATCTTTTGCAAATTTCATTCTCTTGTTTTTCTTGGCGTCAACAGCTAAAAACTACTTCCAAAACATGCTGGTACAAGAAAATCCTTGATTTGATTTTTTTATTTTTTTGAACAGATTACGCATTAGAGATGAGAAAATCAAACTCAAATTAAGATATGTTTGGGTGAGTTTTTAGGAGTTTCAATTTTTTGATACTATTTATATTTTATAAATTAAAATTTTTTTTAAAAAAACTTACATTTTAAAACTTTTTTTTAACCTTAAAAAGATATTAAACAGTAAAAGATCAAAAACTTCAAATCTAAATTTTTTATAAACTCCATTTTTACTCATTTTTTCATATTTCTAAAAGTAATTTTTAAATTTTTCTCCAATAAAAACTTAAACTTATCACTCATAAAAGTACTCAAAAAATAAAAACTCTCTCAAATTAAACCAAACAATCCATTAAAAAGTTGCGAGATGCACCTATTAAAAGTGATAAAACCATTAAATCAAAAAGACCAAGTGCTTGATTTGAATTTATTTATTTATTTATTTTTTAAATATTTTAATTATAAGATTGGTTCGAACCGTTACTCTTGGAAAAGAGATATGAACTTTACAATAGTAACTAAAGTCACTTGATCCAGGATCAAGTTTCGCTTGATTTGAATTTATTTGATCTATATTAAATTTAAAAATGTTATTTAAATTTTATGCTTTACCGCCACCCACCACGAGTGTTTACGAAAAAACCAAACATATTTGATATAGTCAACTTTCAAAGATTTTTAGTCTTCTTCTCTTCATTATTAGAGAATGGTTATTTCCTTTCTTGTACCCTTTCTCTTAAACTAGCATTCTAAGCGTGCTTGTAATTTATTTTGTTTTTCAAAAAAGAAAAACAATATTCCAATCAGAATTTAGTTGATCTGTACCCACTCATTTTAAGAAAAATGTTGATTTGTGATCAATATTAGAAACATAAATAGTAGGATATCAACTCCCTAATTTGTCAAACAATCAACTTTTAATTTAATGGGTTACTAGTTTCTTGTACATGTGACCCTTATTAGAATATCAAATTTTTACTTAGCCAAACAATTAACTTCTAAATTACTAGGGTTACTGATTTTCTATTCATGCAACCCTTGATTAGAGTATCAATTTTCCATGTCAAATAATTAATGGTAATGTTATAATTATAATGCTATATAAAATTGTACAATTCTACGTGACTTTTGATAAAAATAATGTGATATTAAATGAGTAAATTTATATAATATTATAAGTAAATTTTTAAATAAAAAAATATAATTATATAATAATACAATATATTATACATTTATAATATCACATGATAATTGTAATTATAATATTTTTCAATAATTAATTTCTAAATTATCAATATTGTAGGTTTTTGTTCATGTGACCCTTGATTTGTTTGCCTAGGGGAAGGAGGCTATTTTGGCAACTAATTCATCTTTTATTTCTCACTTTCCTTATCTGTGTTCCCATCGACTTTCTATAAAAGCATAGGAACAAAACAAATGATAATTTTTTTAG